CATTTACCTTTGTGTCTCTGGCCTCTTGTTAGTCCCCACTCTCCAGGGACTCTATATATCAAAAGCATATGTCCCATCTTGGCTAGTTCCACATGAGTACTAAAAGTATTAACTCATTAATCTCTACATTTGATCTATTGATTTATTTTCCCTTTGAGGATCAAATTAATGGCATACTATATTTACAAAGGAAAAGAAAGATAAAAATTACCTGAAAATCATTTCTTCCTAAAATTCTATCACTGACATAAAGACATGCTGTTAAAAAAAATAGCAAAAATTTTAGTGTCATTCTATATTTTCAATTTCTTAAAATATGTGAGAATACATGGATTTTCAAAGTTTTCTTTTGTTGAGGGCATTTTGAAATAGTATAAGAAATAGAGCTCCCACGGGATGGGGAATAGAATTGGGAAGCATTTATCCAGTGATCTCTATATACCCTCTTTGTAGATAGTAACACCTTAAGGTGCAGTATAGCATTCCCTGTACACTGCATTCATTAGTAAATGGTACTTCCCAAACTAGAAAGGGTCTCATAAATGGAATGTTAAAACACCATTGCTGTGAACACGGATCTCTTCAGAAAACCACTAGAGCCTGAGGGCATATGAGCAGTCTTTACTTGAGTACCTAAAATACTTTAAAAGAGAGAAACAAACTATATAAGCAGAATAAATCTTATTCTTATAAGTTCCCTCATGTCACATAGACGATAATAAGGTACAGAAAACTGATGGATACATCAGATGTTTATGTACTGACATATCTAAGGATTCATGGGAAGAAGTCTAAAGCCATAGATATTTAATAACCAATAAAAGTGCAGCTTTTCTTTTAAAAATTTTTTTCATTGGTTATTTTATTTATTTACATTTCAACTGTTATCTCCCTTCCCGGTTTCTCCTCACAAACCCCATCCCAACCCTCCTCCCTTCTGCTTCTATGAGAATGCTCCCTCACCCAACCACCCACTCCTGCTTCACTGCCCTAGCATTCTTCTATGCCTTCATAGGACCAAAGGCCTCTCCTCCCATTGATGCCCAACAAAGCCAGCCTCTGCTACATATGCAGCTGGAGCCATGGGTCTCTCCTTGTGCATTCTTTGGTTGGTGGTTTAGTTCCTGGGAGCACTGGGTGGTGTCTGGTTGGTTGATATTGTTGTTCTTCCTATGGGGTGGCAAACTCCTTCAGCTCCTTCAGTCTTCAACAAATAAAGAGTTTGCAAGTCACCTTGTACAATGGAAACATTTATTTTATTAATGTTTAATTTTATTATACTTTTTAATTTACTGGATATAAAGAACAGTCTTAGTTTCCTATAGAGACAGTTTTGGGGACTCTTAAGAAAGATAGGAGGAAGGACTGTAGGCCCTGACTACCATAGGAACTCAACAGGAAGACCAACAGAGTGAACTAACCTGGACCATCGGGGCTCTCAGAGTCTGAACCACCAACCAAAAAACATACAGTGTGTGGACCTAGGCCTTCCCATTCATATGTAACAGATGTGTAGCTTGGTCTTCATGTGGGTCCCAAACAACTGGAGCAGGGCTATCCCAACAGCAATGTATTTAAAATACATCATATTTAATATAAATATTTTAGTAATTAAGAGATTCAGTTTTAGATATGTTCAATTTATGCAAATATGTCAAACCAGGTATATGGAGAGGAAAGCTTGATGTTAAAAAGAAAGTATATCTGTAAAGGCATTTTTTCTTTCCTTTTAATTACACTTCTATTTTTGACACTTTCACACACTTATATTTTTTATTTAGTTTTTACTTACTCACTTTACATCTCTCTCACTGCCACCCTCCCGGTCACCCGCTCCCACAATCCTTTCCTAATTGCTCTTCTCTTCTCCTCTGAGCAGGTGGGGACATCCCTCAGTATCACCCCAACCCTAGCGTTTCAAGTCTCTGTAAGATTAGTTTCTGATCCCTCTGGGGTCAGAGAAAGCAGTCCAGCTAGAAGAACATAAGCCACATACTAGTAACAGCTGTTGGGATAGCCCTGCTCCAGTTGTTTGGGACCCAGGTTAGTTCACTCTGTTAGTCTTCCTGTTGAGTTCCTATGGTAGTCAGGGCCTACACTCCTTCCTCCTATCTTTCTTAAGAGTCCCCAAACTCCATCCACTGTTTGTCTGTGGGTATCTCCATCTGTCTGAGTCAGCTGCTGGGTGGAGCCTCTCAGAGGACAGCCATGCTAGACTGTTGTCTGCAAGCATGACTGAGTATCACTAATAGTGTCAGGGATTCAGGCTTCTTTATGGAATGGTTCTCAATTTGGGCCCACTATTGGTTGGGCATTTCCTCAGTCTCTTCTCCATCCCCTGTGCCTGTATTTCTTATAGACAGAATAAAGTTTCATACATTTATATTAAAAGTAGTAGTCATTTAAATTCTTCCCCTCTCCCATTCTCCTTGATCTCTCTTTGAAACTTGATTTCTCTACTGGGTTGCAATCCTTTTCAGTTCCTTTAGTCCTTTCCTTAACTCTTCCACTGGGGTCCCTAGACTCAGTCCAGTGATTGGCTGTTAAGTATCTGCATCTGTCTCAGTCAGGTACTGGCAGAGCCTCTCAGAGGACAGTCATGCCTAGATCCTGTCTGCAAGCACATCTTGGCATTAGTAATAGTGTTGGGGCGTGGTATCTGTGCCTGGGATGGATCCCAAGATGGAATAGTCTCTGGATAGTCTTTCTTTCAGTCTCTGCTCCATTTTTTTGTCCCTTCATTTCCTTTAGACAGAAAACATTCTGGGTTAAAAATTTTCAGATGTGCCAGGCAGTGGTGGCGCACACCTTTAATCCCAGCACTTGGGAGGCAGAGGCAGGCAGATTTCTGAGTTCGAGGCCAGCCTGGTCTAAAGAGTGAGTTTCAGGACAGCCAGGGCTATACAGAATAACCCCGTCTCGAAAAAAAAATTTTTTTTGAGATGGGTGTGTGGCCCCATCCATCAACTGGGGGCTATGTCTATCTACTAGTGGTGGTACAGAGGAAAATTTCCTGAACAGAACACCAATGGCCCAGGCTTTAAGCTCACCAATTGACAAATGATACCTCATGAAACAAAAGATTCTGTAAGGCAAAGGATGCTCACTGTCAGTAGGACAAAAAGGCAACCTACAGATTGGGAAAGATCTTCACTAACCCTGCATCCAATAGAGAGCTCATATCCAAAATATACAAAGAACTCAAGAAGTTAGACTCCAGAAAACCAAATAACATAATTTAAAAAATTGGGTACAGAGCTAATAGAGAATTCTCAACTGAGGAATCTTGAATGTCTGAGACACACCTAAAAAAATGTTCCTTAGTCATCAGGGAAATGCAAATCAAAATATCCCTGAGATTCTACCTTACGTCAGAATGGCTAAGATCAAAAATTCAGGTGACAGCAGATGCTGGCAAGGATTTGAAGAAAGAAGGACACTCCTCCATTGCTGGTGGGGTTGAAAATGTATACAGCCACTTTGGAAATCAACCTGGTGGTTCATCTGTAAGTTTGAAATAATTCAACCAGAATATCCAGCTATACCACTTCTGGACATATACTCAAAAGATGTTCTACTATATCACAAGAACATGTGATTCACTTTGTTCATAGCAGCTTTATTTGTGATAGCCAGTAACTGGAAACAACCCAGAAATCCCTCAATGGAAAAATGGATACATAAAATGTGATTCATTTACACAATAGAATACTACTCGGCTATTAAAAAGGAGGACATTATGAAGTTTACAAGCAAAGAGATAGAACTAGTAAATATAATCCTGAGTGAGGTAACCCAGACACAAAAGGACATACATGGGATGTACTCACTGATTAGTGGATATTAGTCAAAAAGTTCAGAATACCTATGGTACAACTCACAGGCCATATGAAGTTTAACAAGAAGGAAGGTCCAAGTGTGGATGCTTCAATCCCACTTAGAACGGGGAACAAAATAGACATGGGAGGCAGAGGGAGGGAGGAACCTGGGTGAGAGGGGGGAGAGGAGGAGGGAATAAAAGGGGGGCAGAATCAGGTATTAGTGGGAGAGAGAAGAGAAGCCCAGAGGGTCAGGACAATGAGTAGAAATGTTCAACAGAGTGTTGTGGGGAACAGGACGGGAGAGGGGGGAACCATTAGAAAGTTCCAGACTCCACGGATGAAGGATCCAATGGAGATGACAGCCAAAATGCCCATCAGTTGGAACATAAGACCTTTAAAGGTATTTCATTACATACTTCATATGATCTTCTTTTTACTATATGAAGATGTTTAAGCAGAGAAGCTCATTAGTTATTAATATTTTCATATATATGTTTATGTATCTATTTTTATTAGAATTCTTTTCTATTATTTATGGTTTGGTGTGGGTAAAAGAGATAAACACGACCATGAAAAGACAAAATTAAAGCACGACCATGTTGATGACATACACTTCAAATGAACCCTTACACATTTGGAAAGTGTTTTCAGTTCATGTGGTATCATTTGTTTATTTGAACAATAAAATTTCAGTTAAAGTATACCTACTTCATTATATATAATTGTCGATTATAATCTGTAAGTAGGGAGCCATATGGTACCCTAAAATCTGGGATAAGACGGAAAAGACAACTGGAGAATAAAACAGACCAATGACACAAAGATGAGAACCACATGTACTGAAAGCTTTGCTCCTTGCTTGCCAAGATGGAATATGAAAGACAGCACAAAGGATCAAGGTATATGAAACAATGACAAAAAGTAGGTCAATCCCCACAGATGATACAATAACCATGAGGCCATAGACAACATATGCTTAGGAATTACTAACTTTTCATACATCAAGATTGAACGAATATATGCAAGTTATATTCCAACCTAACTGAGTTCTTTTCTTAAATTAGTACTTTCTTCCCCCTCTCAAGAAAATTCAGAGCTGGCAGAAATTATTTGAACTTCTGATTGTATGTAGAACACAATCACATTTTTGCATGTCTTCTTTTCATCCCAGGTACCAGCTCATTTCCTCTGACAGTTCAGTACCTGCAACACCCGCTCTCGCATCTGTTTGGTTCGGGCTGCATATACTAAGGGGTTAACCATAGGAGGCACCAGGAAATACAAATTGTCGATTATAATCTGTAAGTAGGGAGCCATGTGGTACCCTAAAATCTGGGATAAGACGGAAAAGACAACTGGAGAATAAAACAGACCAATGACACAAAGATGAGAACCACATGTACTGAGAGCTTTGCTCCTTGCTTGCCAAGATGGAATATGAAAGACAGCACAAAGGATCAAGGTATATGAAAGAATGATAAAAAGTAGGTCAATCCCCACAGATGATACAATAACCATGAGGCCATAGACAACATGGTTGGAGATGTCTCCACAAGCAATCATCACCACAGCCATGTAGGCGCAGTAGGAATAACTAATGACCTGGGTTTGGAATTGTTCCAGCCTTTTAGTTAAGATGGGTGCAGGGGTAACCACTGCCACCGCCCTTGCCAGTATAGCCAGTGCCATCTTCACAAGCATGTTGCTGTCAAGGATGGTTGTGTATCTTAAAGGGTACCAGATAGCTGCAAATCTATCAAAAGCCATGGCCAAGAGGATCCCTGATTCCATGACATAAAAGGAAGGGATGAAAAACATCTGTGTGAGGCAGGCTTCAAGGCTGATTTCTTTGGCATTCAGCCAGAAGATTCCTAACATTCGAGGTACAGTGACTGTAACCAGGCACAAGTCCACAACTGATAGTGTAGCCAGGAGGAGAAACATTGGCTCATGGAGAGTCTTATCTGTCCAAATGATGTTTAAAATGGTGATATTTCCTATGATGGTTATTACAAATATCAAGAAAAAGGATATAGAGAACCAGCCGTGGGAGGACTCGAGGCCTGGGATTCCAGCCAGGATGAATATTAAGGGCTGAGGAATGGAGTTATTACATGATGGCATGGTCAGAGGAATTCTTCAAGGTCTGGTCCTAGGGAGACAAGGACAACAGTTTACAATGGTAATTGTTATTAAATTGATGATCAATTCAACAGTTGAGCTACTTAGTGTAGGAATGCAGAAAATTCTGGACAACTTTCTAAGAGAAAGAAACCTTCTCTAAATAAAGCTCTTATTAAACATGTACTTATTCCATGATTTAGTCTTTCCTGTTGCTCTGATTATATCATACTCAAGTCTTACTATTTTCTAATATGACCACTTAGGATGGTAGAATATAGCATGGCATGCATTCCACATTACAGGCAGAATGTGTGTACAAACAAGCCAGTCATTGAAGTATTTACCCCAGCCAAGGAAGCGGAATATAATTATGTATTACTCTTGCTTGGAGGATTGGACTTTGTTTTTTAGGATTCTTGCCTGTGTTTATTATGAATAGTTCATTCTGATAAAAGGTTCAGGAACTATGTGGGAAAATTATGTAGAAAGCAAGGTGATCACTTTGGTAGAATAGTGGATGTATGGGATGACAAACTGGTATCTCGAAATGCCTCCAAAGGTAATAATTCAGCATTTCCAGACTATTCAGTCAAGCACATTCAGGGAGTGGGTAAGGGTCAAGAGGAGTTACTAATTTTATGTGGGAATGTATGGTTGTGTTTCTGTAGGGAGTAGTATTTTGGGGTTAATGTAAATACTTTTTTTTAACCAAAATAGCACTTTATTATAGTTATTAAACATTATGAACTACATAATTATTTTTATAGAAATACAAAATTTTCTGTCACTAAATGAAAGTCATGAATGCATGTTAATATGCTAAAATAGAAGGTACATATGCATAATAAATATTAATATAAAGACATAGTAGTAAGTTTTTAACATTACACAAATGTAATTACATTGTGCTTTTAAGGCTTAGGCTTTATAATCTTATTTAACATTTCAACTGTATAATTTTTATAAATATCACAAAAAGGAGAAAAACTAATAAAAGCTTAAAATCACAAATCAAAGCATGATTGATTTACCTAGAAATATTAAAATTAGGACAAAATTCCTCCCTGTAATTGATGATTTTCTTGGATTACTAGTGTTTTATTGTTACATCCACATCATGAAATGTTTAACATGTTTCCAAATTTTTTGTAAGTCTAATGACTTGGCATTTATTCCCATTATTGTTTCCCTTTGGGATTTTATTTTGAAACAGTATCTTTCTCTGTAGCCCAGTTTGATCTCAGACTCACCAGACATTCAGGACTTTCTCTGACTCATTACCTTTATGCCTCAACCTGCTAAGTGCTGATACTGTAGACACACCTTGGATAGTCTCCATACTTGCCCTGCATCCAGTTATTGTTAAGTTTCTGGCATACACATATCCCCAGATTTATAAAGACAATTAAAACATCCACATATTTTAGCTGTAGTATATACACATAAATAGGTATTTTTATATAGTTAAATCATTTTAAATATGTATGGCTTAGTATTCAAATTCTACTGTAGCATTTTTACATAGTAAGTTGACTGATTCAGATATCAGTATTTTAGATTAAAATGCCATTTTGTCAATGGCACACTGGTGCTTAATAATAGACATTTCTTCTAGGAGGTAACCTGGCATAGTAAAAATATGCAGGTGTTTAGAATCTCAGACCTAAAACTTCTCTGTGACTTGATCTTATCTTTTTAATTTCCTTTTTATATTATACTATAATTTTATCATTTTTATTTCTCTGTCCTCCCTCTAAACTCTTCCACATAACTCTTCCTTACTCTATTTGAAATTAAGTGTTAAATTAAACTTCTACATGTCCAAAAATATATTAACCATATAAGACAAAATTAATCTCTGTGCAGAGGATGTATACCTGGCATCATTTCTAAAAGAATTTTTTGTTCTAAACTGTAGCTTTTCTTGTTTTCCAATGCATTCCAAAATTGAAGTAGGCTATGGAGGCATTGTATTATAAGTTTGTTAGTTTCAAAGAACTGTGATGAAGATAATGGAAAGTCTTGAACTGATTCCTTAAGCATAAATAATTCAAAATCTTGATACTTGTATAGTCTATTGTTTCTAGGTTAATAATTTCTTTAAAGAGAAAATATTTGGTGTCATATAGCTAGATATCTGGGCAAATAATGAGAATTAAAATAGTAAAATGCAGTTTAATCTGCTAGAAGTCAGGATCCTATCATAAATAGCCGCTTGAGGACAAAACAGATACATAACAAAACCAGAAACTTTTACGTGTTAACATTTCCAGTGAGAATGTATATTCATCTATCATGAATACTATGGGTGATGATCCCCACAAAACAGAGTCTGTAGGACAGAATTGGTATTTTAAGCACAGTGAAACAGTTTTTATCTGTGCTGTCATAAAATATTGGCAATAATATGTGAATATTATAGAAAGATGCAATCGATTCAAGAATAAACACTCAGAGATTTCTCTCGTTTTGTTTTGTTTTCTTTAAATAAGTGTCTCTGATCATTCTAAAATTGAAAAAGTGTACAATGGGTTTAGGTATTTTGTGATATTTGGTTGAACATAAATGAGAATCTATTTTACCTATATAACTGTCTGTGTCACAGGGCACTTCTTCCCTTTCCTCTCTCTCCTGTGTTCCTTTTTCCTGAAGTCCTACCTGTAGAATTATAGACCTTGTCAGCAATCCTGGAATGATCCCAGTACACTGGAGGTCTGAAGAAGAGCTGTTTAACTCAAAGATTAAGATGGTGTATTTGAGCTTGAGATCCATTTAAGTTGGTTTGGTTTTCTTCTCTAGGTCTCAAGTGACCTTGCCTTATACCCAAATGTGCTGCTCTTGGCCTGAATATTGTTGGATAAAAACCTTAAGGAGAATCACCAAGGACAGACAGAATTTGCTAAGCACTATAGGATTTGCTGTGGATGAGCTGTAAGTAATAGGTCAATAGAGATTAGAAACCCCAGAGGGACGTGGGAGAAAAGTTGAATCAGAATGGATATTTTAAGAATGCTGAAGCTAGATTGGGCAGGTCAGGAGTCAAATTCAAAACAGTGTTGTGCTAGATTATAATTAACATGTAAATTGATTTGTTTTCAAGTTATTTATTTATTTATTTATTTATTACTTCAAATCACTTTTAGGGTACCATAAATAAATCAGGAACAGATACCAGGGCTCTTAATTCCTTAAATGAGATCAAAGCCCAGGCATACTTAGAAAAAGTAAAGACAAAGTAAAATTAACTTAAGAGTATTTGTGGGATAAAGAGAAAGGGAAGAATTGATGGAAACTTGAGCAAGAACAGAGTACTAGATGATAAATATCATAAAAGACAATGCTCTGGGGAAAATATTTTTAAAAGACTCTAGGCAGAATTGTGGATATGCCTAAAAAAAGAAAGAAACGTTTTTGAAAACTATTTTGTGCAGAAATTATTGATAGAGCATAAATATCTTTTTTTCCCTAGACAGGACCATTTTATTACAAAATGTCTAGGATATATAATTATTCAAAGTTATAAAAGCTGCAGTCTTTGTTGTTGTTGTTGGCTTGCCATTTCTTTTTTTTAAATTTTTAATCTTTTATTGGATATTTTATTTATTTACAATACAGATGTCATCCTCTTTCACTATTTTCCCTCCCTAGAAGCCCATATCCCTTCCCCCTCCTCCTTTTTTGCTTTTATACCATTTTAATTACATGCAAGCATTAAGGTCAGTTCTAGGTTGAGGAACTAGCAATACAATAGATGCAAACAGTCAAAGAACAAGCAAGGCAGTAAACAAAGTTCTGTGAATACTCCCGTGATCACTGTTTCTAAGGGCTTACCATGATGAGCAAAATATCTGAGCCCACTTCCCTGTCCTAGCCCCAAGTCATTTTCATATCTGAAGCCTACTTCCTTGTTCTAGCCTAAGAGTTAGAGTTCTGCCTAAAATTACTTCTTTGTTCTAGCCTAAGAGTTAGATTTCTGCCTAAAATTACTTCTTTGTTCTAGCCTGATGTCAGATTCCTGCCTGAAGCCTACTTCCTTGTCCTTGGCCAATGTCATATTCCTACCAAGCAGCCCATTTCCTTGTCCTTGGCCCATGTCAGATTCTTGCCAAGAAGCCCCAAAGGCTCTCTGCCTCTCCCTCTCTTTTATTTCATTAACAAGACTGAGTCTGTCTTAGGTCATTCTGACAAGAGTGACTTCCTTACCCATCATGAAATATGTATTATCCAAATCTATACTTTTCTGTCTTAGGTTGGTAATGCTCTGGAGCATAAATATCTTGAAGAGAATGATCAGGGATCTGCCTTTTTATTCATTCAAATTATTATTATTTTAAATTATTTCTCAGATTTGATATTATAATATGGTTAGACTCTTTCTTCCTTCCTTTTCCTCCTTCCAAACCCTCACATAGACCCCTCCTTGCTTTTTCAAATTATGTCATCTTGCTTTATTTATTGTTACATAAATATATGTGTATATCTATATATACATATATATTTCTAAATACATATATACAATCTCTTGCATCTTCTTGATATGTAAACATTGCTGGTATATATTAGAATTTATACATATATATGATATTAACATATATATGAAATATATATGGCAAATTTATGTTTGAGAACCAATTAGTTCTTTCTGTGAAAAGAACTATTTCTCCATCTCTACATTCATTGGTTTTTTTTGTAGCTCTTTGTGTAGAATAAGACCTCCAGGAATTTTTCTAATTGACATTACTATTCAATTTTTGATGTTCATGTTCAGCTCATGTTTAGGAAGTCATGTTGGTGAGTCTGTACGGTATAGCTTTTGGAATCCTTAGGAGACATAATTTTGCAGCAAATTACATTATAAATATGTGTCCTTGTACACACAGAGAGAAATGTACTCTTTATTCTCATCAAGGAAACGTATGTTTAAACCTGACAGGGAACATTGCTAAAACCCACAGCCAATCAAAATGAAAAGTTTTGGATTCCAATTGCAATGGATACAT